GGGGGGGGGGGCATATAAGGACTACCTTTACCCAAGGGAGCTCAGTATCAGAGTTCTCAGCCCTGATGATGCAAACTGCAACGTTTGCGAAACGTCGGCATATCGCTGATTCAAGACACGGCTCCATTCCGGAAGCTATACTTAGACATTGTATCAATGGCCGTGAAAGCCTCAAATATAGTAATACTTTATATGGTTCAAATTTCATTAATTATAATATTCACGGTCTGCTTCATCTAACTAATGACGTAAGACGCCTTGGTAATTTAGAATCATTTTCCGCTTTTCCTTATGAAAATAATATGTCTATTTTTAGAAAGTATTGCAGGAAATCGGGTCAGCCTTTACAGCAATTTTTTAATCGGATGACAGAGTTACGACTTCATGGGCGAGGCGATAATCGCGATATCGATATGTCTGTTCGCGTATCAATACCACGTAGTAATAGCGACACTAATGTTCATTATTCAAAAAGTACATTTAATAGTATATGCCTAAGTACTCATGTGCGAGACAATTGTTGCATTTTGCGGGATGGATCGATTTGTATTGTCGTGGACATAATTGCAGACACAGGTTCTTACTCTTTGATTGTAAAACGATTTTTAGAAGTAGATAATTCTTTTAATGTTGGCCTTCCATCTTCCGCATTTCATATATATCTATGTAGCAACATCAGTAGCGATACGCTTGTAATTAATATTAACCAAGTGAAATTAAAAAGTTACAGGATGCCTCTGTGGGAAAAAGCATCGTCAGACGACAGCAGTACCGAAGATGAGGATATGGAATCATCCAAATATATCGTCGCTGCTTTAATACACATGGAATAGACAAGTAAGCTCTACAACAAACATTCTCTTTAATAGTACTAACACGCATGAATATTAACCCGAAACTTTATTGTCTATTTGCTTTTTGCAGCATATGGTCAAGTAATGCCGAGGCCCATCACGTAAGGAGCGGTGGACAGTAGGGTTTTAGTGGGTGCGAGTCCCACACTATCTCCGGTTGCATCTGCAGTCGGGGATGTGCGTAGGCATTTCTCCACTTAAAAAAAAAAAAAAAAAAAAACTGACGATGGACAAATCTGTAGAAGGAAGTTCAATTTCTCTCTTTTAGATCAATAGGTGAAATAATATTTGATCAATGTAAACGTATATCGTTTGGTTCATAGGCTTGATAATATGCCCTTCGAGAGAATTGGCTAAACAAACTTACAACAATTCAGCACTACAGCAACAGCTTATAGCAAGCAGACTGTCCGAAGATCCGTAGCTGCTTGGCTATTGGAGGTATACCGGTTTCAGAGTCATTAGCGATAATTACAAGTTAATATTAGTATAGTCAACGAACTATTCAGAGCACTTCATATAATAATTTGTAGCTTACGCTCTATATAATTTACAGAGGAATACACATAATAGTGGCGACGCCAGGGCAACTGATGGACATGTTGCATAAGAAGATGATCATCTTGAGTGTGTGTCGTTACCTTTGCATGGACGAAGCGGATCGTATGATAGACATAGGCTTTGAGGAGGACGTGCGAACAATATTTTCATTTAGGGTAATTATACCTTGCAACTTTGTACCTTGGTCGTCGCGAATTTCACACAAAAAGACGTCACTATTATTAAGATAATATACATTATTCAATATTTATTTCTTATTATAGGGTCAAAGGTAGACACAATTGTTCTCTGCTACCATGCCGAAAAGGATTCAGAAATTCGCCCGTTCGGCGTTGGTGAAGCGTGTAACGATAAACGTCGAACGTGCCGGAGCCGTTTCGATGAACGTGATACAGGAAATTGAATACATCAAGCAAGAGGCAAAAATTATCAACTTCCTTGAATACCTTTAAAAAACTGCACCACCAGTGCTAATATTCGCGGAGAAGAAACGCGACGTGGATGCTATGCACGAATATCTGCTGATGAAAGGAGTGGAAGCTGTTGCAATACATGGAGACATCGGTACGTTGTATTTCAAAGTATTAGGACTGCTAATAAATTATATTAGCATTACGGAGTTAAAACATCATATAGATAAATTAAGTCTGTAGTATTGAATTTATTTTGTCATTTATTCTATTATGTGCAATACTCACAAACATTGTCACTTACAGATCAGGAGGAAAGATGGTGTTCTGTCTAAGCGTTTCACGCAGCTCGGAAAGATGTTTTAGTTGCGTCCAAAGATCTCGATTTTGCTGATGTGAAACACGTAATTAATTACGATATGTCAGATGATGTGGAAAATTACGGCAATATATCGTAATCTATCGTACAATTTAGATTATTGTATTAGAAGGATTCAATGTTAATGTATCTCTCTTAATATAGTTCATCCTCGATTTCATCGAAGATATGCGCTCGCGAAAATGAGCAAGCAAAGCATATCGCGTTATTATGCTAAAAAATCTGTATATGTTTCATATTTGTACAAAATAAAATTTATATTGTCTACTCACAGATACCAATTTTAATTTATTTACGAATAACAATTCCAACCTAACCTAATCTAACGACCGAAATTATATATGCCATGCGCGCCATTTAAAGCGATCAGCTGATTTAGTGCAACTATTGCTGCCAATTTGCTGCCAATTTGCGCTCAACTGTTGAGTTCAAGACGCTGCTCCGGTGTTGCCGTCAACTTGCTGCCAACCTATTCGCGCAACGTTTGCGCGCTGTTTGCTGCAAATTTGCATCAAACTCTTGACGTCAACGTTTGCCGCGTATTTTACCTCAGTTTGACACCAACATTTGATATAACAAAATGTTGCTTCAAATTTGGTGCCTATTTGCAACCAACAGTTGAGATCAAGCTTTACTCGAAAGTTGATCGCGCAGGCTTGGCTATCGGGGATAGCAGTTTAATATACCGTTATTTATATACATCGTCGATATTAAGATTATTTAATAGAAAGTTATTACATATTTAGTACACGTATCAAGTATACGATGCCATAGGCTATAAGGATAAGCACACTAACCAAACTCTCCGATCACAGATTTCTATTCGTTTTATGGCTTCTGCACACAGAACGTAGCAACGCTTGTCGTGAGGCGGAAGTTTACGCGACAGCCAATCAATATGTTGTTTTTCCGTGAGACCTATAAGGTTATTACGGAAAGCAACATTTAGTGAGCTATTACTGTGTGCATATGAAACTATCCCATTTAATAGCATACATATGCTATTTAATTAAAGAACCTACAGAATTAAAGAACTTACAAGAACCTACAGAATTAAAGACAAAATTTAATTAAAGAAACGACAGAATCTGCACGCAATCTGCCGTCAATCTGCTGTCAGAGTCTGTTGGCAGGCTCTGCGCGCAATCTGCCGCCAATCTGTCGTCAGAGTTTGTCGGCAGGCTCTGCGTGCAATCTGCGTTAGCAAATCCTGCGCACAATCTGCCATCAATCTGTCGTCAGAGTCTGTTAAACAGATTCTGAGTACAATCTGTTGTCTTTCTGTCAACAGAACCTGATAACAGACTGCGCAAAATCTGTTTTAGCAGATTGGGCTATCTGGGTGTTTATGAAAATTTTTTATTAATTCACTTTTCCGTTTCTGTATTAATATCAGATATTCATATTAAAAATTTTGGTCTTCCTTTTATACAAAACATGATAAATATTTTTATTAAACATTGTAAACATTTATACGGTTTAGAATGCCTCGTTTATAATTTTCACATTATATCTTATTTATGTGACGATGTTAATATGTTTGGGCCTGTAGATAAATTTTCAGCATTTGCTTTCGAATCATATTTAGGTAGTCTTAAAAAATTGGTTAAATCTCAAAAAAAAACGTTCTCCAGCAAATCCATCATCGTCTTTCTGAAATAGATTCATCTATGGCTAAGTTAACCAAAAATAGTATAGAAATTTGGAGTATAAACATGCATTAGGTCGTTTAATATACTCAAATGTCTATAATTGGAAAAAACAATTTAAAACAATTTTCTTAAATAACGTTACTTTAACAGTTCATTCATACAATAATTGTAATTCTTACTGCAGCTTTGTAGATGGAAATGTAGTAGTTCAAATACATAATATAGTCATTACATTAAAAGGTCAAATTTATATTATTGGAAAACAATTTGTTGAATATTCAGATTTATATTCTTATCCATGTAAATCATCCAAATTAAAGATTTTTGTTACAAAAAAATTATCAGGACTTAAACTTTGGCCAATTAAATTTTTTTTAGCAAATGCATTCCCAAACAGCACAAGATCTCCTGAGGACGTCCTAAGGACGACCTGAGGACGAAAATTGTCCTCAGGATGTCCTCTGGATGTCCCCTGGACATCTGTGCTATTAGGGTTGTTTATCCTTTTAATGATACTTCTTTTATATTGTTACCTATAATTCACAGCATAATTAATTTAAAAACTTAATATATTCAAAAACTAGAAATATATTTTTAAAACTATAATTTAAATTTTATTATTAAATTAATTCTATTATATTTCACAGTGTATAATTAGTTACATAAATTTATTAATTATTTAATATACTTACGAAGTATATTAGAAGTAGTTTAATTATAAAAATTTAATTAGTCTTAAAAATATAAAATGTATTATTTTTAGTTGCTTCTTTATCATAAGATTATATATCGAAATGTATATCGATATAAAATATAAATTAATAATATTTTAATATAAATAAAATATTTATATAATATAAATATTATATAAATGTTAATAAAAAGCCTCTATAAATAGCAATTTTCAATAATTGATAATTTGAAATTTTGTTTTATTTGTAAAATGGTAGAGGACTTTTCTGCTCTTTAACGCCTTCTATCTTTATATGATCGGTTGTTACAAAGGTTTCGAATATCCTATATATTTCAGATATAATATATAATTTTCCAAGTTACAAGATTACGTTAAATGACGTCATAATAATGTCTTCAAAACGTCTTTAACGTCAATAAAACGTCACTTTAATGTCATCTTGCAACTTGAGTTTATATAAATGTACACGTTACATCATTTTAGTGCATTTAATGTAAAAATGTATACATTAAATAATTTATATTTCGTTGTACTATCTCTGATAATATGATTATTTCACTTCTAATAAAACAATTTTGTATGTAATTTTGGTTTTTATTTTTATAATCCAGTTCGTTATTGAAACGTCATTGAAACGTCATTAAAACGTCATTAAAACGTCATTAAAACGTCATTAAAACGTCATTAAAACGTCATTAAAATATCATTAAAACGTCATTAAAACGTCATTAAAAGTCTCAAAATAGTCATAAAGTGACATCTTTTTAACGTCTTAAAATGTCGTCATCGGTCCGTGACATTAGTACGTCTTTTTCACGTCATTTTGACGTCATTGCATTGGTCATTTTTGGTCATTTTCTGACGACTTTTTGACGTCATTTTGACGTCACTCTGTTTACTGGGTAATATTACATTATATCACAGTAATATTTTCGTAATATTGTAACATCGCAAAAATATTACGGAAATATTACTATGACATTATATATATTACGTGTTATGTGGGTAGTTATATTCACCAAACAATTTAGTTGAACATATATTATTGAATTAAATCTTAATTACTATGATTAATGTTTTTCAGCGTGGCATTATATGTTTAATGCATATATGTTTATATATGGAAGTATTATATGTTCTTCATGATTTTGTTCCTCTTTCTTATATTTTATCATAATTTTCAATAAAAATGAAATATATAAAGGATATATATTTTCTTTTCCTTTCTTTTAATATTATCCTGACATTTTATGGTATTAAAAGTAATATTATTTCCAGCACAAAGCAGCATTAAATGTAATATTGACCAACCTTGTATTAATATTTGGTTGCATCATTTCTTTAATGTTCCGGAAAGTAACATTTTAAGATCAAAATAATATTCTTCTCACGTTTACAAATGTTACTCAAATATTTTCCCTAATGTCATATTTAATATTGCTTTAATATTTTTATGCTATGTGGGAATAATGGCTCTTGCATACAGGACGCGGTAATGCTTACCGCGCGGCGGAAGTTCGTGTGACAGCCAATCAATATGCTGCTTTCCGTAATAACCTTCTAGCTCTTACGGAAAAACAACATATTGATTGGCTGTCGCGCGGACTTTCGCCGCGCGGCAAGCATTACCGTGTCTTGTGTGCAGGAGCCATAAGCGATTAGGCGACAGTTTCCCGAAAAGTGGAGGGGATAATGTTGGTACCAAGGAAAATCTCTATACAATATAATTTAAAGATCTGTTCTTTGTAACTGCACTGCTGAACTGATGCAATAAATTGAAGTGACACAAGTATACGTTTTCTCACTCTAACCTTTTGCATTAGTTCAGCAGTATACAGTTACAAAGAATAGATCTTTAAATTATATCGTGTAGAGATTTCTCTTGATACCAACATTATCTCCTTCACTTTTCGGGAAACTGTCGCCTAATCCAATAAGCTTATAGTCATAAATGAGTGGGATCCGATTGACCACGGTATGATTGGATACAGATTATAATGATTGGTTCGACCTAGTAATTCACTAAATAATTCTTTTCATCGGTTGGTTGTGTCTACTCGTACCGTGGTCAATCGGGACGCTCCCAATCATAAGCAAGTTGACCAACCACAGTCCTTTTTTATAATACTTTTATCAACTGTGATTGGTCAATTTTCTTGCGAGTTTTGATTAATAGCATATTAAGCAGAATGCGAAAAGTATTCTTCTATTGGATATCATACGTCGTACGTCGAACATCTAACGCAGTGTGAATCTTCTATAAAAATTTGCATGCCTGGGGCTTGATTCTTGACGGTGTGCGAATAAGGTACGCATACGAAAATCTACAGTATACGTAACGCGAACTATACATTTTCAAAAATCGACATGATGTTTTCAAGCTATTTTCTAGGTTGCGTTCCAAAATTCTACTCGGTGGGTAAAGTACATTTAATTGATCAATTATGATAAAGAAATCCTAGTTATCTTTGTTCTTATTGGTCAATTAAATGTCACTATATCTAGACAATCTCTAGTACAGAGAATCGCCAACTTGGTCATATGACCAGCTATTCAGCTACTATGCGATTAGCTGGCATAAACATGTACAGATTTGGACATTGCGACGCCGATGCAAAACCATATATATATATATATA